TTTTTTTTTTTTTTTTTGGTATCAGGGATCAAACTTGGGTCCTTGTGCTTGTGAGGCAGGCAGCAGCAGAACCACTGAGCTAAATCCCCAGCCCACTGGACCTAACATCTGTAATTGGCCCCAATTGACAAGGCTAAAAATACAAAAAAAAACAAACCCAATCATAATGTTCTACAGAATCTAGAATTTTAGTACTCTTAATGTCCTAATCCCTAAAGTAAGATGACACAAATTATGAATATTCAGAAAAATTACAGAACTCTAAAAAAAGAAAAAAACCCCAGCTACTTGTTAAAAACTTACCTCGTACTGCTTTTCACTAATAAACATACATAGCTCTACTCGGCCATACTTATATATAGAAGAACAAACATACAGATCATGTAAAAGTTTCCAAAGTGCCTTTCTTTCATTATTCGGAGGGAATGTTCCAATTACTTTAAAAGGAATATCTATTAAGAAAACATGAAAAAGAAAGTTCTTAATACTTCTTCCTATAACTATATTTTACAGAGGCAAACCAGTTAATTTTATTTTTATTAGACAGGCTCTCACTATATAGTGCAGGCTGACTTTGAACTCACTATGTAGCGCAGGCTGGCCTTTAACACACAGGATCCTCTTGCCTCAGCCTCCCGAGTGCTAGGATTACAGGTGTGCCACCATGCCCAGCTATCAATTTTAATTTTAAATAAATTAACAATATATTTCTATGTTACCTGGCCTTTAAGGAAATCAAATGGCTGGGTCAGGGGGAGGGGATACCACAATCAACATGAGAATGACTTGATGGGGAATTTGACCGTATGAACGGAATACAAACCTACTAACAACAAAGGTATACTGCTAAAGGAAGACGGAAACTATAAGGCATTTGCTTTATTAAATGGCCAAAATTACCTTCTGACCAAGAATTTGCTTCTATTCCCAAACTTGGAAAAAGCTCTTGTGAAAGCACAACAGGTGGGTGCACTGTATTATGATTGTCCGGATCCATTTTAAAAAAGTCACAATAGACCACTTGTAGTTTTCCATTCAGCTTTTCCTGTAAGGACTAAAGAGATAAAGAGATCACATGTTAGGAAATTTCAGCATTATGTAGACTTTGCAAAAACTCAAAGATCAACTTTATAAAAATAAAAAAACCAAAAAGATCTTACAGAAGATATCACTACCTCCATGAAGACATAAGGAAAATATTACTTATACACATAAACCTTTTAACAGGAAATAAAGTGTAAAATATTACCAAGAAAAAGTCCCCCAAACCAATATAAACTTAAGCACTTACCCAGCATGCACAAGACTGAGTTTCATCAAACAAACAACAAAACCTTCAAAAAAAATTTTTTTTATCCTCTCTCTCCCGCCACCCATACCAGGAATCAAACTCAGGACCTTGTACTTGCCAGGAGGGTGCCGCTGAGCTACATCCCTGGCCCTATCCTTTCTTTATCTTAATGGCTTGAACTGTTCAAAAGGCTTCTGGGCTACGTGGAGGAATGGGCCGACTCTGAGAACACAGCGGCCTCAGGTAGAGAACTGTTAGGCATCTGAGAGGGTCTCAGGAAGACAAAAGGAAAGATACTTCATGGTAGAGAAGATAATGAAAGTATTAAAGGGCAGATGAAGCTAGGCATGGTGGTATAGGCCTATAATCCCAGCCCTGTGGGAAGCTGAGGCAGGAGGATCACGTATTCAAGCCAGCCAAATAGCGATTACATCAACTAGGAAGCTGTATACATGAAAAAGTAACAGTGAAGAGGTTTAAACTGAAAGCATAATTTTGTGAGAATGAGTTCTTGAAGTAAATTAAAGCCTGAGGAGAAATATAGAAGAGTAGGCTGGAGGATGGTGTAACTCCACTGTCTAACAAAAGGAAGCCAAGGAAAAAAAACACAAGAATGTAATGTGGAAGCTAAAGGAAAAGAATGTGATGTAATGTAATGTGATGAATGTAATGCATGTTTATCTTTAAACTCTAAAAATCATTCAACATATATAGTAATAAAATAACTGACAAGGTATCAAAAAAGATATGCTTTAATCTCTATAATATTAAGATAATGAATTTTGGTTTGATGAAAATGTAAAAAAAGGGGGCACACTTTAGTATTGTTACAATTGTATTATGGGAGCATACATTTTTGCTTTACAATATATCATTTACCATTTCAACATTCCAAATAGGAAGACACCTAAATCTTCAAAATAATTAATGTAATTCATATGATAATTGTAAGGCCAATTAGATTACTTTAGATTGCATGTAAGATTAAAAAATGGCAAGCCAAAAGAAACAGAGCCAGGTAAAGGATCCCTGAGTTTCTCTTATTAAGTCTGGCAGGTTACATAAATGTATCTCATTTAAACCTCATCAAAGCTGAGTGTGGTGTGAATGCTTGTAATCATAGCACTTGGGAGGCTGAGGAAGGAGAATCTTTTTGAAAGTTCAAGGCAGCCTGGGCTACATAGTGAGTTCAAGGCCAGCCTGCTCTACGTAGCAAGACCCTGTTTGGAAAAAAAAATCCTGTACAGGTGGATATTAATCTCTCCTACTGTATATGTAGCCTAAGAAAAGTTAAATTACTTGCAACCAGTCTTTTTTTTTTTTTTTTGTACCAGGGATTGAAC